ACTAATTCTATAAAAATACACGCATTCTATTTCAAGTAACTATGCTTTAAGTAAATGACATTATGATATCCATATTCATATGACTATGCTATCTTGAATAGAGTATTATTTTGCTGAAAAATGAACATGCTGCTTATATATTAAATGTACAACTAAATGTTACCATTGATTTAATAAGAATATATATGAACTTAATGAGGTTTGTGCAACTTTCAGGGTAGTCCTGTGTATGAATTCTTATAGAGACAGTTGACTGCCCTTCAGTCAATCTAGGGATCAGTACCTGGGGCAAATGAACTCATTCTCATGCACATGTTTCTAAACCAGTTTTACTAGTGTTTGAGATAAATTAAAATAAAAACCAACAAGGGTATGAAAAGAGACTAAGAACAAGACTAATGTGGTAACTTAAACCAATGTGGTTTTCCAAATGGTCTTCCATTTCTTACAATTTCTAACTGCAAGATCACTATCCTCAGCACCGGATGCCATCAGTCTGATGTGCCAAACTTAAAACACATTTCTAAATGTCTTTAAAGCTGAGGTGGAGGAGAATGGACTCTGTCTTTTCATATTCTCAGAAAGGTCCCCGGTTGACTCTTGGCTATGTTTTTCTCCTATCACACATATCTTTAATACAATTTCCTCTTTTTATGACTTCTGCTATGATGCTTTATATTTAAAAGGGAGTGGATGGTGGGTGGGGGGATCTTTAGGAGATCTAAGAACCCTATGTATTTGGAGGAAGCAGAACAATACAGTCAAATAATTAATTAGTCAGTTAATTTGGTGTCTATAGAACACTGGCAATTTGGAATTTTGATTATTTCTGAATTTTCCCCTCATGTTACTAAGATTATATAGTTTTATATTTGTTGTTGATTTCACTGATTCATTCCCCAGTGAGTAGAAAGAAAATGTTTACTATATTTATGTTAGAATCAATAATGATAACAAATGCAGAAAATCCAAAGTAACTAAGTTAATTGAAGGTTAATCTGGCACAATTCGGTTGCCGTTGCTCAGTGAGCTACCACCTCATCATTCCTGTCAGAGTTAGGAATGTGGATTCTTTTCAAAAAGGTGCATACTCCTTTTCTCTGAAGACATATGAGAATTTATCCAACTTTATTTTAGAATAATAGAATTCTGAATACCCTCACTACTAAGAATTATCATAATTATCAGTAATTGACAGTTATATCAATTGGTTAAACTAACTTCCTTCTCTATGACTTTTAAGGAGACAGCAAGAAATTATGTTGTTTCCTGTTTCTTTCTTCCTTGCTTGTCATCTCCTACCATTTTTTTCTCTATAATATTATGTGGATAAGAAGTTTGGCTTATCCATGCCAATCCAAAGCTAGTTTTCTTTCTGTTCAGTTTCCTTTATTCACTTTATCTTTTGATGATTTTTTTGTTTTTCAGTATTAAGGAACAGCCAGGGACCTTAAGCATGATGGAAAAGTCTGCTACAAAAGAGCTACAAATGTCCTTTGATATGTTAATAGTTATACTTAATGATAGCCAGATAGAAATCTGTGGTGTGGGCTGGAAGCAGATCCACAGCTATATTTGTCTAAATTCTAGAAGCGGAAAAATGGATCAGGGTTTTAGGATAATTCCTTCACCAGAGAAGCCAATGTGAAAGACTCTCCCCAATATTTCTACCTGGTTTCCATCTAATTCTTCTACCACCCATATGGGAGGCAGGTTCTAATTAGTCACATGTGGACTCTTCAGCCAGTGACAATTCCTTCCTAGTAATGGCTCTGTGATTGAAATGCTACCCCATGCTTCTATCCACTTGGTCTGATGCTGTCTAGGTCTAGAGCCTAATATTCTCTCTGGCTTTCAGAACTCTCTGTAATTTGTTTCTGAGCCACCTGTTTGAGATTTTTATTTCATTTTTTAATATTAGTAATTTGGAATGGAGTTCCTTAAGTGTTAATATAGGGCTCTGAATCAAAAGTGATGAATTACAATGCACTAGTTTCTGCTAAATCAATGAGAGGTTGGCTGATGAGCTAGAACAGTTCCCAAAGCATGCCTTCATTATTTTGTTATTTGAAGCATAGTCATTAGGGGTGTATCTCTACAACATCACTCTCCGAGTCTTTCCTAATTAGAGAAACCATCCAGGAGTGCTAATAACAGTTATGAAAGGATGAGGGGGTACACTAGCACTTAAAACATGATGTTTGGGCCCTAAACTAATTAGATGTTTCATGCTTGGGAGAAATATCCCTGACAGGCTTTATGAATGAATGTTTTTTTTCAGGAAGGACCTCTCAGAAAAGAAAGAGAGTGAGCGAGAGAGAAGAAAGCAAAAGAGAAAGAACAGTCCAGCCAACATGTATTAGCAATAATAAAATGCATATGCTCAAAGGCCTGTAAATGGTATACCACTTTATAACTTATGAGCCTCTAGCTATGTTTTTGTGGGTCCATTCTTTTTTTAAATGTGGAGAAAACCTAGAAAAAAGGTGGAGATTTTTTTAAAACCTATACTGTCAACTGTACTTTTCTACGTATTTTACACAGATAGTGCAATGTCTTTTAGAATAAGATTCCCCTGCATTCCAGCATCCAGGAGGCTAAAGCCATAAGGGTGCCTTGAGTTTGAGGCTAACCTGGACTAGACTCTCTCTCAAAGAAACCCATAATCAAAGAAACAAAAGCTAAAACCAAAGAGCAGAATTATCTCTAGTCTCCTGTAGCCAGCAGGGTCTCGGCCATCTTTGGTGTCCCTTTGTCAAAGTACACAGCAAATGGGAATTCTTGAGACCAGAAGGAAGGGTGTAGCTCTGCGCCTCTGGTGAGAATCAACTAGCAGGATAGCGGAACACGCATAACATAGAACTAAGGTTCCCTTTGCATTGTGAAATTGATGTAGTAGCAGAATTAGGAGTCAGTGAGATCTTTGAGTCTCATTGGGACCAACCAAGGGGTAGTTGGGATGAGGCGGAGACAGGGTGAAAGTAAACACACTTCTGTAAATGACCAGAACTCTTACTGATCCACATCCCACACCACATGGCCCAAACCTAGTGGAGCATTGCATAGCCAATACCAACCTGACTTCAAACCTGTCACCTCAGGTTAGAGCGACTTCAACTCCACCTCTACTAAAGATAAATTGATATCTATCTCTAAAAACGTCATAAAACAAAATGAACACCTGGGATGTGTTTTTAATGACTTATTGACTTTTCAGATTGTTCTTTAAGCTGTTTTTTAAACTTTAAAGGCAACACTGATAATGAACGCTTCCAAATGGTAAAACAGAAAATCCCCTTCAAATATAACCGGCCCGTAGAAGAGTGGCTGCAAGAGAAAGGTAACCGTCGTTAAAACTTTCATTTTAAAATCATTTGATTCTAAACCCTCATTTTTAAAGCCTGCAAATAAATGTTCCTTAAATGATAATCGCCTGCTGCATAAATGACTGTTTTAATTTTCATTATAATTTGTGTCAGCTTCCACCTGCCATATGTTGATAAATCATGCTATAATACATCGCCATTAAAACACAGTTAAAGGGACTAACATCTAGCCTGCTGTCAGCATGACAGCCACAAACAAGGAATTCCAGGAACCTCTAAAAAAAGAGAAAGAAAGAAATGGATTATGGCAATTTAACCACTGCATGACATTATTTGTTAATTTGTTTTAAATTCCTCTCACACCAAAGCTTTCTAAAGAAGTTTCAAAAATACTTGTTAAACTTATGGCTTGAGGCTGTTTTGGCTTTACTGTCTGGAATGTGGTTAACCAAACCAAGAAACCAAAAAATAGATCAACTCTTGTAGCTTAAACTGCTTAAAACAAATGTTATAAAGGAAGCAATGTGTGTTAACATTTGTTTTTAAACAAAAGATGAGAAAGAATGGATTTTGCCTCTAAATTCAAACCAACAGAAGCAAAGGTTTCTGTAAGAGTTTAATTACTGTCTAGTTGCTGCAGGAAACTAAAACAAAACAAACTTATTGTACACTTTGGTTGTGTGATACCCTTGTGTATTTCATTAATGTTTTATGCAAAACGTGTAAGCTGCTAAGACAATCAGTTGGAAAGGAAAAAGTCTCACAAAAAGCAAAACAGCAGGTTCTGATTTGCTGACAGAAACAACCACTCTATGAATAAAAATAAGGCAACAGTTATAACTCATGGTAGAATTTTCTGTGTGGTTTCTTTTGGTTACTAAATACAAAAGCTTTTTAATGAAGAAAATTGATCCCCAAGAAGCTATGAATTCTATTCTTTCTTGAGCCAGTATAATCTACTCACGTCTTAAGACCTCAAATAAGACCTTGAATTTTGATAAGATTTGATTTAATTACATATGAGGAACAATTGGGGTATATAATTACATAGTATACAACTTAAGAGATGAAGGAGAACTACATGAAGGTTAAAGCTGGGTGAAAACATTCAGACTGTTAAGCATGGAAAATTCTTACCAAGTCTTAACTGTTTGCCCTGTTTTCAACATATGTGGTCTAATTAAAAATAAATTAAGAATAACTCTAAAAAGCAAATAATTTTGTTTAGTAATCAACAGCTCATAAAGTCCCTTTAACATTAAAGACAGTGATTGCCTCACTTTTAATAAAAAGGAGAGAAATAGATGCATGTCTGAGTCTCATGTGCCTGAGAGAACTTTTGTGTTTCTTTCAATTTTATGTTAATAATGTTTTATTTTATTCCATTGCCTTTTGAAGTCTAAGTTCAATAGCATGCCAGGCATTTTCATTTGTATAAACCATTACAAAGCGATTAGTAGGCTTTTAGTTTTCCTTCTAAACAGCTTCGTTATCAGCTGGCTTTCATATAGAAAGATGCCCTCAGATACACGAGTTAAAGTTTGGGATCGGGGAGGCATGGTTGAGATGGGATGGAGGGAGGTGTCCTGGCTTCTTTATTAAGTATATATGTTTATATATGTATATGTTATTGAAAAACTTGTTTGCAAACTATGAGATTATTTTTGTATTGTTTTACTGAAATTATTTTATGTAATTTGGGTGAGTAGCATCTATTTGCTTTACCTCTTCCTCTGTCTAGCTAACTTCCCTTTCAAATAAAACAAAAAATTTAAACCGAAAGACCTTGTAAGGATGATGAGTATAAAGGGTAAAAAGATAGAAGGACGATTAAGCAGTTGTATTTGGAAGTACATCTACTGTCTCTCTGGAGTTATTTCTGTCACAGGGGAGCAGAGCTGGGTCACAGCAGTCCCCAGTTTGTTTTCTGGCTCTGTCTACTGACTGACTTTCTGACCTTTGACAATCCACTTAACCTCTTTATGTTTCAGATTTCCCATATGAGGAGAGAAGAAAAAATACTGCCAATTCCCCCAGGGTGTTCTGAGATTTAATTAATTAGTCTTTGTGCAACACTGGCTGGAGACGTGCAAAGATTTAATTTAAGCATATGCAAACTTGATGTTCAAATGAGGAAACAAATGATGGCTTCCAAAAGGATGCATACCTGAAACAGAACCAAAAGTTACAAGCTATGAATCTCATAGCTTGTTCTCATCAAATTTCATATTACTGAGCAATTCTCAGAATTCAAAAAATATATGTATAATGTATATTTACTATGTATATATATTTAAGTGCACACTTATATATAGTGATGACTTATTCCCAAAAGCATGAAACATAACTAACCATAGAAGGGATGAGAAATGCTATCTGGCATTGAATTGAGAGATCTTGGGCAAGTGATCAAAATGAAACTTTCCCCAGTCAATCCTCCACATCCTTTCTAGGGAGGGCAGTGATACTGTTTCCTCCTTGTTGATGACCTCCTACACGGCTAAGGCTAAGACGCTAAGACGCTAAGACGGCTAAGACCAGTCACAGGCAGGGATGGGAGGGAGCTGAGAGGGTTCTCTTCTAATGATTGCTAGCTCTGCTATTAGCCACACAGACCAAATGCAAAGGGCTAGGAAAAGGTTGTGAAACAAAAGGAAAGCAAATCTGGCCATAAGTAACAGAAACCCAAACACTTCCTATGGCATGAAGAAAAATTACCATATGGATAACCCATTTTGCTATCTCATCTACCACTGAATTGATTCCAAGAAGTCAGTGGTCAGATGTTTCTGGCAAATCAGTTAAAGCCAAGAATAAACAACATTTTAATCTGATAGCCCCCAAACATGTCTTGCCTTCCCTGATTCTTGGGTCAGTCTTGCATAAACAATGACCAATTTATGGAGTGAGCTATAGCAAATGGAATGAAGGGGATCCATCATTTCCAGCCAGTGTATTTCAGTTTTAATTTCAATTTTCTCTGACCATATTTCCACTTCTTAAGCTGTGGTAGAATGAATATTAATAGGAAAGTAAGACAAGAACCATTGTAAAAGACTATTGTTGTGAAGCACCTTCAAAGACATTAGCATATAAAATCTACACGTAATCCAGGTTACTCAGGCTCATTAACTCATCACCAATGCTGAGCTACATAGAAAATAGAAAGAGAGAGGAGGAGGAGGAAGGGGAGAGAAGGCTAAAGAGAGAGATAATACAAAGGGCAACAGTTGTGCGTATGGTAGAGATAATTTTACATAAGGGCTGTCTAGCGTAAGACACTAAACTTTTACACTAGAAATCTCCTACTAGGTAGCCTTTTCTAAATTAAAATGTTAGGCTACTGTAAATGCTGACATGCAGTAAAGCAAAGATTAATCTCCCCATATATCATTCCATTTTTACTGTAAGGCTCCCCACCCCTAGCCATCACCCTGCATTACTGTGCATTGAACTTGGGGCTGCAACTAATGTAAAGAAGAAAGAGGCCAAAACTATGCAAACATCAAATGATGCCTATTCACAGGAAGCTAAAGAAATTGGTCTTAGATCTATTCGATTGCATCCTCAGAATCTAGAGAAGTCTGTTGTCATCAAAGCCAAGAGATCCCTTTTGTATGGTCCAGACACTTATAAGTCTTTCAAAGAATAAGCTCTTGAGAAGTGTCCAGTTAGTAAAGTTGACACTTGTCTTAAATGCCCCCCCTTCTGAACATTCCAGTTTCTATTTACTGTCCATGTCTTTCAGTAGTGTACACTGAGACAGAATCTCAGGTTATACTCCAGAAATCCGAGATGAGCTGTGTATTACCTAGCCTTGAGGATCCTGTGATAGTGACAGAGGTTAAGAACCCAAACACCACAACACACTTCTACTTATGGAGTTAGAGGATGGAGGGGAAAGCCTATCTAGTTTATTAGTAAGCAAGAATGGCAGAATATTATTTATAGTTATTTATGGTTAAAATAATTCAGGTGACCAGGTAAAGAATTAGCAGAACTGTTGATCACTTGCTAATGCAAACCTCAGAATGGATACTTTAATTCTATGGGTAATTTTCTTTCCTCTCCTTAGATGGGAAGCAGAAGGAAGCCATCTGAAGTGATAGCACTAAGACAGGCCTTGGCATGTTGCTGCCATTATAAATTATAATGAATTTTAAAAAACTGTTTATTCTTTTCCCCTTGAAAGACTAGTTTGATGTTGGCACCAAAAAATAAAAATGGCTGAGAACAAGGCTAGTTGAGTTACATTGTTCTAAATTACTCTGCCATCATTTTATTCTGATACTGTTCTCTCCATAGAGGTATAAACGACCCCCAAATGAAAGGACCAAATAAGATGAACCATTGATATTTTTTACTTTATTAACATATCTCTACATCACTTAAGGAGTTTTATGAGTTGTCTTCATTAGTATTCACCTTCCTTTTAAGATTCATTTTATTGATTAATTTTATTTATTGATATTCTGATTAGTCTTCCCTATACCTTCTTAAATTCATTTTAACATTACCTCATCCCCATCACCCAACTCCTAGTCTGGGAGCTTTATTAATCCCTAATTACTTTCCATATTTTATTTGGAAATAAATTAGTTAACTGATCATACCTACCTCCAGATTATTAGAGAAATTTATCTGGGAAGTTGCTGCTAAACAGTACATGTCATAGATTTTATTCACTGTGAGGATTTATAGAAAACTATGTACCTGGTGACTAGAATGTCCATTTTCTAAACATGCAAAGAATCAAGCCTCTTAATTGAAGTTTAATTTTAGTAAATTTAATTTAATTACTGTATCTAATGTGTAAATTCAGTGTTCTCCGTCACCTCCTTGAGTTTTTGTTTGCCATATATCATTCTTTCATGCTGTCATTATGTTAATTTGTAGTTGAAAACCAGAGCACTAGGCAATTCATTATGACCTTGATCTGATTTGGATATTTCTGTTATCCTCGATTACATGTCTAGTCTAAGAAAACAGATACCTCTCATCACTGAACAAAGATTTCTTCTTTTTTAGAATAAAGTGTATTCATTTTACTTGGGATTTTCAGCTACACAGTGGAAGAGATAATTATCATGGAACGCTACTCACCAATGATCATAGTGAATTTTTGTTGTATGTTTTGTCCACTTCAGTTGCTCAGGGAAGGCTGTTTTGATACTTGGTCCACTCAGAGTAGGTAAGGCAAGGAGAGAAGAATACATGGAAATAACACTATTTCCCCCACCCAATCCACTAGGCCGGCAGTTAACCATCTTCAACACCCAGGCGCAAATAGCCATCGGAGGAAAAGACAAAGGACGCCTCTTCCAAGGCCAACTCTCTGGGCTCTATTATGACGGTTTAAAAGTACTGAACATGGCAGCCGAGAACAACCCTAATATTAAAATCAATGGAAGTGTCCGGCTAGTGGGAGAAGTCCCATCAGTCTTGGGAACCACACAGACAACCTCCATGCCACCTGAAATGTCTACCACTGTCATGGAAACCACTACCACAATGGGTACTACAACCACCCGCAAGAACCGCTCTACAGCCAGCATTCAGGTAAGCCTTCTCCCTGGGGCTAACTGCTTCCTCATTTTTGACTTTGGCACATTACTATCATGGTCAGCGTTCTAGGTAGCTAAAGAACTTAAATTACTATGTTTGCAGGGAGATGCCTACAGATGCTCACAGTCATGAAATCTAGGACTAGAGAAAGATGACATCACTGCTAATGGAATTATAATAGTATTGTGACACTCTGGGGGTGTTATTCCTTACATTTATCACTGAATAGGAAAACTGTTATTCAAAATAAGCGATGGACTCTACTTTATTATAAAATATTTCCTCCTGTCATTTCACTACCTTTTCTTTTCAAATAGGAAGGGAAAAAGGAAAATGTGTTATCACAAGCGAGTCTGTACCCTAGTTCAATTCTGCTCACATCCTCCAGATGGCTTTGTTAGAAAATGAATTGTTCATTATTGAAACCAATGGGTATCATTAAGTCAAAGGTATTTGAAACTAAAAGTTCAACCACTCCTTCTTGAACATGGTCTTTTGTTGACTGACATAAAGCCTTGATTAGTCATTTCTTATTCTTTGGTTCATCTTGTTTACTTTATATCAGAGTAACATACTAATCACATTAGAAATGTGAAGGTTTGAATTTAGCTAGGCATAAAGTTCTTAGTTTTGTGGTAAGGTTTTATTTTTCCACTTTAGAGTAATTATGTCCAAGTTAAAGCTTAATACTTTGCTGAGTCTCTTGGTAGTTCATAAATCTAGTTAGAAGGGGGTAGGAGGTTAATCGAGTTATTAGCCTTAAATGCTCTGGCATCAAATAAGACATTTTAATTGCTTGTGGGGAAATTACCCCTAGCACAGTTAGTACTGTCGAAAATTCAGTGGATCAGTACTTGTCTCTTCTGTTTCTCCATTTTAACATGTTATCCAATAGCTCAATGGATTCTCTGATGTTACCTTTTCATTGACTCCAGTGGACATTGTACATTTAAAGTGGATCATCATTTAAACCTCACCATGTGTTCTCATTTTTCTGAATTAAGTTTTTCTGCAATAGGTAGGCGCCTTGTATTCCTTTACTCCTTTGCTTTGTGTAGAAATCCAGACAGCTCCTTTCTGACTCCCTAGGAATAATTTAAGCTGTAGGTACTGCTGATGTTATCAGCCAATTTCATGTGTTTTCCAAGCCTGCTAAGAGGCTGACCAGCAGAGCAGTCCTATAGTCACAGGTGCTGTTCCATGCATACCTATGCACATGCTTACGAGAGAAAAATAGCACCTCTGTGCTGATATTACAGCAATCACTCCTGACACCTCACCCCACTCACTGAGAAGAAGATAAAAGGCAATATATATTTCTATTATGACTCTCTATAGCTGAAGTGTAGATCTGTCTACTGCTGGTAAAAGGATAGTTCTGTTTCCACAGGTCTTGGCAGACCTGTTTTGTTTCTGTCAGAATATATTCTTCTAACTCTGTGGGAAGTACAAGAGCAAATGGCTTTTCTCTGTAGGAATGGCTGATCCCCTAGTCCGTTTAGGGCCAAATCTTCACTGACCATAGGAGGATTTAATGTTACACAGGACTCAGGGAATGGCCTCAATTCATGGTCATTGTCAGTCTGGCTTTTCCTCCTGCAGCAAATATGTAAACGGTGGCAGATTGGATGAGTTCCTAAACTCTGCAGTCTAAGACATCCAGGGATTTGGGAAAGAGTAGATTTCAAGGTGTACAACATCTTGCAAGTGATTTTCCCCGACGCCTGGAGGTCTCTTGGAGGAAGTAAGCACCAGGGAAAGCCCTTCCCTCCAGCTTTCCTCTGCTATGCTATTTCACTTCTCTCTCTTTTTTTGTTTGAGTCCAGCAATAATTGGATCACATCTTTATGAGTCTTTCCTTTCACTTACACCAAGGCTATAAAGATGAGTTATAAATCTGTTGACACTCTTTATTTTTAAGGGTGTGTAAATACTTGCTCTTGGAGAAAAGCCATCAGCTTTACAGAATTGATTAGACTGGACCAAATAATACAAAAGCCTAGTGTTTTCTTTAAAGAGAAACTTGAGGAAATACACTGTGGCTGATCTGAGATGGTTTTGTTCTTGCAACTATTCATAAGAACTTTGCCCAGTGCTTCATAAACACACAAACCTCATCTTCAAGCCTGTTCTGGTCTCAAATGTTTTCTATAGATCACATCAAGCCTACCTAAAAGTTTAGGACAGGTCTTGGACTCTGGACATATTGAGTGAGGAAGGGACTACCCCGGAGTTTCAAATGCTTCAAATGTATGTGTGATCCAGCCAATTTTCTTGGATAAAGAGAATTCATAAAGCTTTAATCTTTGGGGGGAATACTTGAGAATAGAAAAAAAGGGGGAAATATTAAATTTCATATTCACCATTCAATCTTTCATCCATGTGAAATCTCAGACTGTCCTACAAATGATGCTCTCCTCTGTCCTCTTTTGCTTTGATAATATCATTAAAGCATATTTGTCCTAAAATGAGACTCTTCTAAGAGAAAAACAATTAAGCATGTGTGACCACAAGTATAAAAAATGTCACTAGTCAAAAAATCCCCATTCCTTCATAAAGCATAAGCTGAGAAAACTTCGTTTTGTGCAGTTCATTTCTGAGGGACCTCAGCTAGTGTTCACATCAGATCAAAGGAAAACTGTAAGTGCTTTTAGTGCTGCTCTTAACTGTGTGTGAATGTGAACAAATCGTTTCTGAGTTGCTATAGCTCTCTAATGCTCCAGTCTCCTGGAAGTAATTGGTGCTTTGATCTCTGTGATATTCCAGTCTGTTACAGATGTAAGTACAGAATTGCTTCTGAATGGCATAGACTATGTTAAATTACTCACAGCTATTGTGCCCAAGCAATGAATCTTGACCTTGTATTTAAAAGAGTGTCTCAAGATGCTCCCCTCAATTTAGGAAGAAAAAAACCTCAAGTGCACATTGAGATGGCAGGTGGATACAGAATAATTCTGAAATAAAAGTCTGGCACTTAGTAGGTATTCAATAGGTACTGAGTAAATTAGAAAATAAGATGGGCTTTTATCTCTATCTTGTAACCACTTAATAACTGGAAGTATAATAGCTGTGAAAGAATTCCTTCTAGAGCGGTCAGGGTGATGCAGAAAAATCTTTTTCTACTGGTGTGGCTATAATTTAGCTACTCTGTGCATGAACTTGAGCTGGATACTCTGGGTATGAAGTCTAGCTCATTCTCATATTAGCAAAGTAACCTTGGATAGAAAATATGGGTTTTAAGTTATTATTGAGAACAAATCCTTTCCCACAACTTTAAGGCTAAAAATAACTTTGCCATTAGAGCTCACAATTCAGAGTTAGATCCTTGTTCAGGCTACACTGGAGCAATTCTGTTTCCGTTTTGGGGTTCCCTGGGTCCACTTGGGCTGCTGTGATCTAATAGGTCTCTTCCCTCACATGGCTTGTCCCTGGGTGAGTTAACTTTGAAAAGACTGTGTTTATTTGTGCCATGTCCCTCTTCCTAGGAACTATTCACCAGAGTGGCTGGACTCAGGGCTCCCACGAAATGTTTTAAGGGGAGGAAGCAGAGGTTGCCAGTTTCTCATAGCCTGAGTCTAAACACTGGGCCTCTGTTAGTCATACCTTACCCTATTTCTCTATGCTTCCATGGCTTTCACAATTTCAGGGAGAATATAAATCCTAATTGTCAATAAGAGGAGCATCAAGAATTTGCAGAGGACACAGGTTCAGTTCCCAGCACCAACATGGCAGCTAACAACCATCAATAACTCCAGTTCCCGAGGATCAGACACCCTCTTCTGGCCTCTTCAGGCTTTGTACAATACAGATGCACTTACACACATGCAGGAAAAATACACACATAAAATAAAAATAATAAAATATTTTTAAAAATAAAAATAAATAAATTAGATTAAAAAAAAAACTATGCGTTGAAGAGTAATCACATAAGAACAGGAAATAATTCCAGGTCTCATAAACTATGTTGTCAGTCAGAGGTATGACATTTGTCACCTTGAGGACCTTGGCCTGAAGCTTATACTCTACATATTGGAGAAGATGTAGAGGGGTGGGCTTGATTGGATTCCCTGTGAGTATTATTACAGGGATGTCCTCAGTAATGACATAGGAACTTTTTGTGTGTTGGTAGGGATCAAACACAGAGCTTTGTGTGAATTAGGTAAGTCTTCTACCACCAATCTGAAAACTCAGTGCTTTGTAGGGACTTCTAATAATTCCAGTATCAGAGGGTAACTACACTGTTGGGTCAGGATTTAAAATGGGATAAGAGAACTTAGTCTATAGTCAAGTTCCTTGGTCCTCATTCAGGACAGAAAGAAAATGTGAGCTACAAGCATCTTTCACAAACACTGCCATTATCTTTAGCTACTACAACCAAACTGTTCTAAGAAGGGAGAAAGATCCAAGAGGAAAGTAGTTCCAAGAATAATGTGCATTCTCTTATCTTTGGCCCCAGTCTGAATTGTTATCGGCAAGAAAGAGTTCACAGTGTTCTGCAAATCCATTTGGAATTGTTTATAAGCTATTAGCAGAAAACTGATCATGACCCACTTTTTCTATGCTGGGCATTGACAAAGTCACCTTGACATTGGCCAGAGCTGTGTGCCACCAGATAATTGCCAGAAAATCACAATGCTCAGCCTGCATTTGAAGTATCCCTATAAACAGTAGAATGAAAGTCTATAAGGTTTACAAGATTTCATTCTTCTCTCAAGCATCACAGCTGTGATGATCAAATGTGAATAGCTTTGAAAATTCCAGAGGGAGTAATAAATTTTCAGACTTTGCAACCATATA